CACGTCCGGGAGCCGCTTGTCGAACACGGCCGCCCCCGCCCCCCACTGTGCCTCATCGCTGGGAGAGGCCGCCAGCACTGCAACGACACGCCGGCGTGCAGCAGAGGCACGACGCCAAGACACCCAGGACCTGATGCAAGGGAAGTCGCTGTCGTAATAGAGCCAGCCGAACAAGACGAATGCCACCATTGATGTGTAGTTGGGGTACGTCAAGCCGCTCAGCTTAGTGGGCGGGTTGGTGGGGTCGAATGGTACGTGAGGGAAGACGGGGCTGGCAAAGAGGGTGGGGGTGTAAGGGCAAATGTGAAAGCGAAGGATGGTGTTGCCGTTCATCAGCTGTAGCTGGTTTCGAAAACTGACAATGACCCCCCAGCTGAGTATCTTCCACTGCCGCACCGCCTCTGCCTCGCCGATGAAGGCCGCCGGCTGCCAAACACGCCGAAGTTGTCGTCACCCAGCACCACAGGCCTATTGCCCCTCAGCAAGTACAGCATCTCCAGGTGAGGCTTCCATCTGGCCCAGTTGCCGCCCCCCTCGAAGGCTTGTAAAACCGTTTCTTCGAGAGTTTACGACGGCGTAAAGGGAATTCCGGGTTGTTAGGGACTTTGGAATTCCCGCCATAGATTAAGCCTCTGTTCTTATCTGTTACCGACGTGAGCCATGTCGCAGCCCCCGCAGCGTCCACTCGCCCCCCGCCCTGTGCTGGTGACACCTAACGTGATGGCGGGCAGTGCTGGTGAGGGATCGGCGCAGAAGCCGCCTCCTGTGCACCCTAGGGTGAGGCCTCAGCTGTCGCCGACTAGTGGTGAGCGCACGCGACGGGGAGGGGGGAGAGGAAGCGAGAAAACCGCCAGACCTGATGATGCATTCGTCGTTTTGCGTTGTGGGTGGTCAGGTTATGGACGCCCTGGTGCGAACCTGTCCCCTGGGTTCGTCGCTGGTCGCCCTGCTGCTGCCCACTTGCAGCCATACCGTACGCACGAAAGGAAGGCGCGGCGCTTTGCGCAACACGGGAGTACATCTTTCTTTCCCTGTGTGTTGCGGTGTTGTGTTGGTCTGTGCAGGTGGTGCGTATTCTCAGTCGCAAGATCTGTCGGGCATGGCGCCGCGCTCTGCTCAGAACCTCACGATGCCCGCTCCCTCTCGCACGCCACAGCCCACCAGGACCGGCCCGCCGCCCCGGCCGCAGCTTACCGCCACAGGCTCCCACTCGACGCTCCCGCCCAACATCATCCAGTACACCAACACCGCAGCCACCCCACAGGGGCCCGCAAACCTCCCGGAGGCACACGCATCCTACGACTTCAGACCCAAGCAGAAGCCCTTCCACCCCCAACAGCAGCAGCAGCAGCAGCAAAGGGGGTTCTTCCAGCCGCCGTGGCTGGCCATGAAGAGGGGCCTCGGGTTCGGCAGCGGGCCGGGCACACAGGGGCAGGGCGAGACCACCCCAGTGCCCTTCATGCCGCCGTGGGTTGGGGGAGGGGGCGGAGGCGGCCATCAGGTGCGGCCACCGCAGCACCAGTACCAGCAGCTCATGCATCAGCACCAGCAGGTGACCGGCCGTGGGACGCTCCCGGCCATGATGCCGCAGCAACTGCAGAAGAAACAAGGGGGCGGAGGGATAGCGATGCCGGGCAACATGGGCAGGGGAGTAGATGGCGGGATGGGTATGGATGGTGGGATTCTGCCGGACCGGAGCTACCTGCCGCCCGCTCCGTACCCCCAGCGCCCGCCGGTGATGGTCAGGGACCAGCACCACGTGCTGCCGGCCGCGGGGGTCATCTACACCAACAGTTCCGAGCCCGACCTCCAGGCCCCCTATGACAGCCGGGGCGCGACATTCTACCCGACGCCAAACGTCGGCGCCATCATTCCTGAGGAGGGCGGCGAGCAGGACGACACCAACATGACCAACGGCGGCCTCGTCACGCCCCTCAGCAACCTTGTCGCCCACCAACAGCAGCAGCAGCAGAACGGGGGCGGCACCACCACCACGGGCGGCCCCAGCAAGCCGCCCCAGGGCGGCTTCGCGCGCATCCCCCGCGCCCACAGCACCATCCGGCAGGAGATAAACGCCCTCCAGATCAACCAGGACAGCAGCACACAGGCGGTCCTCAAGGGCGAGGCCACGCGCGACATTCGGATCAAGAAGAAACAGCACCAGAAGGGCAAGACGCGCTCGGCGGGCATCTCACCTGAGCTGCGGGAGCACATGGGCAATTTTATGCGGGGCGAGAAGGGGGCCAAGCCCGATGTGGGTGTGGGTGAGGGAGAGGAGGGCATAGAGGAGGAGGGGGACGGAGAGGGTGGGGGAAAGGGTAGCGTTAGCTCGGGTGTGGGTGTGTTGTTGCCGGAGCGGCCCACCCAGCCGCCCCCGCCCCTTTACGAGGACGAGGATTACGAGGAGGGCCAGGTCAGTGTCAGTGGCACGCGGGGGCGGGGGGGAGAGGGGAAAGGCAGACGATGGATGGGTGCATGTGTGTGGGGTGTGGCATGGCTGGTCAGATGCGTTCCGAGAGCGAGTACTATCCCCATCAGTTGTCGGAGAGGTCATACCACACCCCCGACACCCACAGCCAACACACCACACCTCCACTCTGTCTCCCCCTTTCTCCCTCTCGTGTGCAGTGACCAGCTCGAGCAGTCGCGGAGTGTCCGTGTTAGGTCTGTTGCGGGTCCGCAGATGTCGGCTGCTGCTGCTGATGGAGCTGGCGCGTCTAGTAGCGAGCCATCCTCGTCTGCCGCGTCTGCTGCCGATGGTAACCAACAGCTCCAGTGCAGAAGGACACAATCACAAAGGCACATACACGTGCTGAATGACATTGTTTGTGATGTAGCGGTCATAACAGGCGATAGGCAAGAGGGCGTGCCCTTCTCTGCCGTGCCCCGTGAAGTGATGCCGACCATCGCCCAGTGCCTCAGCAGCAGCAGCTACGCTGGAATGATCGCCCTCAGCCGCTTTGATAAGGCCCTTCGCAACGACATCGCCCCCATACTCCTGCCCCTCCTTCTGCGTGTATTGGGCGTGCTGCTGCCGACTCTTGGATTCGGCTCATTTCTGGTGTGCATCATCCCCCAGCTGCCGCTCCCTGCCGCACTCAGCCACGGCTGCTGCATCGCCTACCTCATCCAACAGCTCACCCGTCGGCTGTTCATGCTCGAGAGGGGCGGCAACTGGCGGAGATGGCGACCTCACTTGGAGATGCTCTACATCCTGAGGGGAAGGAGGCCAGTGGTGTTGGGCGATGAGCATTTCGACGCGTTCGGCAGCCGGGCGGCCTTCGTCGGCCGGACCGAGGCGGTCCGCCAGTGGAAGATCCTCAGCCGGGGGATCACTGTCGCTGATGATCTAGGCCGACAGAGACTGCTGATGGACCACGACGGCATTCTTTGCCCCCCCACTGGCCGTTCCAGGCCGACCCTCCTGGCCTCCCCAAGCCCCCTCTTCCCCAATGCATTCGACCCCGCCAGCCCGCCCACACAGATGGAGGCCTTCGTGACGTATCCCACCTACGCCTGTATGGTGGCCTTCGAGCTGTTCTACTGGCTTCGTTACGGCGAGCACATCCGTTGGATCAAATCCTGGAGGTCTTGCCGCCCTTCCTTTGCTGCATTTCAGCATGTGTGTCAGCTGCTGGCGATCTCTGCCAGCGATGTTGCACAGGTCGGGGGGTGGCCACGGGGCGTGGCCGTCTTCGACAAGGAGCGGCCTGACGGGGCGGCGGTGCGCCATGATCGGCTGGTGGTGGTGGGGAGTGAGGTGATGGGCGAGGGGCACATGGCGGTGATTCGGGTGGAGGATTGGGGGAGTCGACGCGATGTTGACATCTGCACGACCGAGGCGGCCCCCTACGACAAGACGCGCCGTGTCGTGATGGATAATTTGGGGGAGCACCTCGGGGGCAAGATGTGGGCGGAGGAGATCGAGCTGTGAACAGATGGATAGCAGAACAGACAGATAGCTTACAGCTCGTCGAACGTCGATTTAACGCATTGATTGCCACGGGGTTTTTCTCTCTGCCCGTCTGCCTGGGTGGTGAGGTTACCATGTGTGACCGCTTGTACATACCGGTTCCGTTTTGTGCCTTTTGAACATTGCCTGCCTGACTGCTGGACATGTTTGTCTGTGTGATGATGCATGGCGTGGTGCATTAGTACAGGGATGACATCGTGCACAATCAAGACCGTGTCTGATGGACGAAATAACTGAAAGACATGGCTCTGCTCATGGGTCCAGGTATCAGTCAGATGCACATCAGACGCACATCCAGACACACCCACTCTACTCCACTGCACATCTTCGCGCGCGTGGCTGTCAGTCCAGGCCGTCACCAACAGAACAGTTCGTTCTTTGCAAAGCACCCGACCAAAACCCACACAAAAGAAAAACGCGCCTGGCCATGGCAGTCAGGTGACGAAATCGTCCCGTGTCAAGCGGGATTTCTCGCCAACACCCTCACTTGTCCGTCTTTCCCTTGTCAAGGCCAGCAACGCCCCCATGGGTATACCGCGTGCTGGCCGCCTTTCTCCTTCACGTTCTCCTTCACTCCCGTCTCTCTTCTGATAATCACATGTAGCAACACGTGTCTGTGTGTTTGTTTTGTGGAGGCTCATGTTTGTATGCCTGGGGAAACGAAGCGACTTTGGTCAAGCCATTCAGTCATTGAAAAAAGCGATGCCATATGCAGCCATTGAGTCTGACATAAAAGTAATCGTGACCTTCACTCATTCATTCTCAGTCACGTCAGCCCCCCTCCACCACTCCCACACTGCCCGGCCAGCATACAGCAACACAAATCGCCAGCCAGCACCACACTCACCCCACCACTATACCCCTGTCCATGACGTCGGTTTCCAGACCGAATCGCTGCAGCAGACGGCGCCACAGGGGCTCCGAAATTGGGAAGCGGTGGGCGAGTGATGCAGGTGCATCCGCAGCGGATGGCTCGGTCGTCCGCAGCACGATGCTGCCATACCCAATCCAGAGGAAGGCAGCGACGGTCTCGCCCTGGCGGAAGCCTCTGACTACCACAAAACGCCTCTCTTCCGCATCAGCATGGTTCAGATCCCCCCCATCGTAGCGAAAGTCGGCGACGATGCCCAAATCCTCACTGATGTCGTCGGTCCTCAGCAGACGGCCAAAGCGAGGGTCACCATGGCCGAACTGTGCAGAGAGCACCAACTTCTGACCCACTCCCTCTCCATTGCACCGCCAGCAGAGCAGCGTGGCCAGCAGGAATGCCGAGAATGAGCGGAAGATCCATATGCCGTGTCGGATGATAGGGTCGGCCCGCTTGTAGCCCTCAGCATAGCCATGGCCGCCCCACAGCTCACCCAACGGCACCACACGAAACGACTCATTGCTGATCCTATAGCTCCCATTGTCGGCCTGCTGCAGCGCCAGGCTGTGTCCGTTGTGTGTGAGCAGGTGGCCGAACAGCCGATAGATCGCCATCGCCAATGGCAGCTGGTGGAATGCCGTCCTGCTGGGCAGGTTGGCTGTCAGCCACTGAGCCGATAGCACCAGGGGCAGCCCATTGGCAGGGGTCAGCCGATAGATGGCGGCCAGCCGGATGAACCGCCCCATCCCAGGCCACTCGTCGCTGCCCTGCTCCAGCACATAGGCCGCCCGCAGCACATAGCTGAATGGGAGAGGGGCAGTGCGGTCGATGTCGATGAGGCCGGTGAGGGAGTGGCGGGCGAGGGAGCCGTCGATGCGCTCCACCAGCAGAGCGGCCGTGATGATGGACGTGCCGATGGCGCGGGAGGTTTTGCGGAGAGATATCACATCAGGCAGCTGCAGGCACCTCACCACCCGGCCTCGCCACAGGTCGTCGGGCACCGAAGACGCCATCAATCACCGTGAAAGCGAGATGTCATTGGTCACCATCGCCTTGCGGCAGTTGGTGCAGTGGCAGAGCTCAGGCGGCGATGTGGACAGTGAGTGGTCCATATCCTTGACGGCGCCGCAGTAGCTACCGGCCCTGCAGGGAGGGAACGCTCGTGACGGTGAGGATGAGATGAATAGTCAGCATAGATCAGCGGGCCACCTGCAACGAACAGAGGCAAACGATAACAACTGCACTGTTTGAAGACTGCCTCGTCAGGTCCTTCTTTTTGAGCTCGCAAGAAGGTGCGAGCCGTCGAAACGGGTCAGTGCATTGACGAAGATACGGCCTCAATTCCGCCTCTGCCGCATTTGCGTCCCTGCAGACTCGCCTTCGCCAGTGCAGAGGCACCGAGAGGCGTAGGCAGGACCTTCGTAGCCATGCAGCGGGCTCTGGGGCTGCACAGGCTGCCTCCGCGGCCGCCTGTGCGTGTGGATGAGCCGGTGGACAGAGATGCGGCGGCTGATGGCTCGACGAGCGCCTTCCTTGACGATGATAATAATTATGAGGGTGATGAGGCTGCCATTGGGGAGATGGGCGCACTGCAGGAGGGTGTGGATTACAACCTCAATAGCCTGCTGGAGTTCAACGCCCAAGTGCAGCAAGTCATGAAGGTCAGCAGGCAGGCAGGCAGGCCGACGCCGCACACGACCATCTGGACCTTGTGTGTCGTGTCTGTCGTGTGTGTTGTGTGTGCGATGTGCCGTTTGCAGGAGTTGGAGGAGATAGAGGGCCAGGGGAATGATCGCAGCGGGCGAGGGTAACACAAACACACACACGACTTCCTCTTCATCGTAATGTGTGTGGCTGTCCGTGTGTGCAGGGATTATGTTGAGCGTTTTCCGACTGGCCGTGCGGTGGTGAGGGACCCTCGAGTGCCCCCGCTCCTCACGGACGACCCAGAACCCGTCGGCAGAGCTTCGGGCGCCAGGAGGTCATGCAGGGCCAAAATCACCGTCAACAAGTATGTATGTCTGAAGGACCACACCGATAGATTGCCTATTTGCACCTTCTCTCTGTCTGCAGATCGTCTGAAAGCCCAACACGCCGCACAAACGATGCGCGCGTGGAGAGGATCACTGCGGGACTGAGGCGTTCGGCGCTGCCCCGGCCTCCCCCCGCCCCGCCCTCTCTGACCCCTCTCCCCTTCCCGGTGGCTGGTGGCGGCAGCAGCAACCAGCAAAAGAGGCATAGAAATAGGCATGGCCAGGCGCACTCCGGCGATATGGGTAGTATGGGTGGCGGTGAGGCTGATGGGAGGCGGCTGGCGCTGCTGCCTCGGTTTGAGGAGGACCGGCTGCATGAGATGGTCTTTCGACAGCTGGGGATTGATGACCTGCCGTGACTTCATAGAGATGGCTGGGCGTGTGTGCGTGCTGTGCTGCATGGATGTCGTATAAATGACCTCGATCTCAATCTTCCGATGGGTGGAAGGATTCACACACAAGTGATGTCATGTCGCACACTGGCCGGCTGACTGAGTCGACAAGGAAAAATACGGCGCGTTCACCACCCACGGGGCCACACGAAAACAGAAAGTGCATTGCCACAAGCTGTCCCGAAAGGCGTTGAAAGCACCCACCCCTATACACAGCGGAATCTGCCCACCAAAGGAATCCCCCCCATATCCCCCCAATTGTCACTATGCAGCAGCCCTCTCCATATCTGCCGGCGGGGCCGAGACAGACGACCGCGGCTCACCCAAACCATCCGCACCGTCCTCACCCGCACCGTCCTCACCCGCCCTTCTCCGGGTCGGGAAGAACCCCAGCAGCGAAGGGATGGGGATCCCTCTGCTGTGCCGGTGATGCTGCTGCTGGAAGGGGCTACTCCTGGCCCATCCCCACCACCTCCCGCCCGGCGTCCATGTGGCGCCACCGTGCTGTGGGTGGGGTCGGTCATCTGCCTCGGTCATGCTGGTTGTCATTGGTCGCTGGTCGGGATCGCCGCCACCAAGTGCGAGGGACTCGAGGACGTCGTCGATGTGTGTGTGCGTTGCGTGTGGCGGAGGGACTCGGTTGTGCGTGTGGGTCGAGTGATGGGGGGCGGGGGAGGTCCGACTGAGTGCGACTGTGTCGTACCCAGACACTGTGTGTCGGGCGGCCGATGCCGCAGGGAGGGAAAGCGTCGCGTCGTCAATGGGTGCTTCTTGTGGCTCTGAGGGGGTGACGGATTTGACCGAAAAGGCCTGGTCGATGTCCTGCGCCTGAATCATCTCCTCATCGGGGGAAAACTGAGACTGCAAAGACCTGAACCCGCCAACCACACAAAACGTCGGCCACATCGATCTCTCCACACATGCAGGTCAGGTAGGTGCTCTGACTTACTTGGTGGCCTCTTGCTGGTACTGCGCATAGAGCTGCCGTCTCAACTCGCGGAGGCACCGCGCGGCCCTCTGTGTGAAGAGGAGCACTCCGGGGAATGAGAACATCATGACGTAGGCCAGCCACGAGGACACGAAAGTGGCCATATAGCCGGCGAAGAAGAGCACGATAAGGGCGATGGTGTAGGTGATAAGCACAAACAGCACGATGCGCATCCACGCCAACGAACGACTGCACGCAGCGCAGCCAACACAGAGAAAGAGAGAGCAGGGCGTGGACACCCTGGTGTGTGTGTGTGTGTGTGTGTGGATGGTGTAAGGGTACGTACCTGCAGACCCATAGAAGTATTTCGAAAGCCCTGAGCAGCAGCAGGCCCAGCGAGTAGGCGATGGCCGCCTTTTCCATCCACAGCACGGCATTCGGATTCACAAACGACAAACAATTCACCACCTGCACACACACACACACACACCAGTTCTTCCCCCGTGGCGTTGGTTTGTATGGCTGGGTGACGTACGATGTATTTCTCGCTGTCGTACTCTTCAGGTTTGTCGCAGTCGATGGACTTGTGGCTCTGCTGAAACAGCGTGTCGAACGACAAAGTGGCCGCAAAACAGTCTGCTCGACGCACGCACACACAGATACACACACACACACACACACATATATCTAGCGCAATGCACAAATGGGGGTATGTAAGCTGACCTTTGTCCTGTTCGCACTCCTCAGTGGGGAAGCTGCCGCCGGTGATGGTGACGGACTCGAGGACACACCCCTGCCACACGTAGCTCAGCACCACTATCAAAGTAATCCGCAGCATCATCTTGCACTGCTGCCTGCATCAATCGCACCAGCCCACACACACACGTGTGTGTCACATGGCTGTGCACTTCCCTCCCCCTCCAAAAGATACGTGCCTGATGTGTTTGCCCTCTTGTGTGAGAGAGATGTCGACTTCGAAGCAGTACATCCGCCTCCTCTGTATGGTGAGCATGGTGAACATCAGCGGCAGGATGGAGAACCGCCGCAGCACGTACTCGAGCACGCCCAGGCAGAAACACATAAACACCGCCAGCGACAAGGTCAGCAGCTGGTACTCGAACCACGAAAATGACTGACGCTCCCCCATCGGCAGCAGGGAGGGTCAAGCACAGGGCAGCTCTTCTTCTTGGAGCCGGCCGTTAAGTCGGCCCTTCTCTCCCCTTCCCCTGTCAAATCGATAGTTTCGCCCCCTGCAGCACAGCCGAAGCAGGATGAAACGCACAGATATCGAAAAAGAGGCCTTTCCGCCGCCAAGGAAAGCGCCTTTTCAAAGCTCGCAGCGAGCTTAGTGTGTTGAAACCGCTTAGTGTGTTGAGGAAATGATGTGTCGGCCCGCAGATGGATAACCTCGGCTATAGCCTGATTGGTTTCTCAACATAGTGGAGGGGAAGATGGAGCAAAAACACCACACTGAGGTGGAGGATGGCTTCGTGAGGGTGCAGGTCAGTGATGGCAGCGAGAGTGTGGCATGTGTGCCGCCTTATCTTATGAGATTCCATGTCAATGTCAAGATGAGATGGAGAGAACAGAAGTAGGCAGCACGCAAGAGCCTCCCATCCTTGATCTCATGCATCTTTGCTGGCACTGGCTGGTGTGTATGTGCAGTGCGTTGGAGGTCATGTGCCGCGAGTTTCGAATGCGTGATGCTGCCTACTACAAGCGGGCGATGCGGAACGGTCAACTGCGGGTGAATGGCCGTCGGTGCAGCCCTGACACGGTCCTGAAGAACGGCGACGTCATCGACCACCACATGTACTTTATCGAGGTGAGTCCAATGGCCGGAAGATGCCCATTCATTCTGTCATGTCGTTCCATATTCAAGTAGGGCGTGGGCAGTGGCGAGCGCATCGGCGTTGTGCATGAGGATGCGGATCGTTTGGTGGTCTACAAGCCGCCCGGCATGCCGTGAGTGACGACCACACGGACTGCCTTTGGCCGACTTGGATGGTTGTTGTCTGTGTTCATCTCTTCATGTCGTTGAGCAGGTGCCACCCACAAGGCCGGTACAGCCGGATGTCGCTCATCAAGATACTGCAGCGGTGGATGGGTGGGCAGAATGGACCACATGCACACACACACAAGCCTGCAGTGCTCCTGTGGCCGTGTTTCTGTGTGCGCATGTGTTCAGCGAGGAGGGATGGTGTGTCGGAGGCCTACCTGCACGTCATCAATCGCCTCGACAGAGTCACATCAGGCATCGTCATACTCGCCAAAAACGGTGGGTGACCTGGCATTCAATGTGGGAGAAGGTCGGCTGGTCGGCCACTGTTATGGGTGGCGTGGTGTGTGTGCCAGTTGCATGTGCGCGTCACCTGTCTGCCCAGCTGCAGCAGGAGGGCGACTCCCCAGGCATCCAGAAGATATACATAGCCAAGGTACGTAGCAGGCAACATCAATCAGCACGGCCAAACAAGCCCCAAGACAAAGAAGCTTGTCTCGGGCGTGTAGGTTGTGGGTGAGTTTCCCTTGGCTGACCGCTTTCAGCACGAGGCTGACGACACGGCCACAAACGCACGCGACGAACCTTCAGTGGGAATGAAACGGCCCTGCCCAGACACATCCGATAACAATCCACAGCCGGTATGTGAACGCTGAGAGTGAATCGGCGCTTACTCATCCTTTGTGTTTCTCTTCTGGTTCATTCAGGAGATATCTCGGGTCGCCGGGAAGGACGAGATTCGTGTCCGTGCTCGCATCCGTCTGCTGCAGCTGCTGCCGGGCATGCCACTGGAGGCCGAGATACACCCAGAGGTGAATGAGTGGCTGTATATATGGGGTCTGTCTGATGGGGCACTAAGTAAGTGTCTCACGGACTGGACTGATGTGTGTATGCCTGCAGGGCAAGGCTGCCGTGACATGCTTTCGCCGTCTTGCGTACGTCCCTTCTGAGTCGCCTGGCGGTAATGGATACAGCATTGTCCGATGCAGACCGGTGAGAAGGAAGACATGAAGCGCACCTGCTGTATTGGGTCCATCCATCCATCCATGTGTGTTGCCGTGTCGGCGTGCACTGCGTGCAGGTGACGGGAAGGACACACCAGGTGCGTGGGGGTGGTGCCCAGCAGCAGATGCACCAGACAAGGAGGCGATTGCTCTCCCTCTTTGCCCTTTTCTGTCGCATGTGCAGATCCGTGTTCATCTGCAGCTGCTCGGCCATCCCATTGCGGACGACCCCATCTATGGCACTGACGTGTCGCTCCCGCGACACCCCTCTGCCCTGCCGACCTTCAGGCCCCACTGCGGCTACTCAGTCGACGGATGGGACGGCTCCTCGGTGCGCGTCGAGTTCCCTCTGGTCAGCCCCGCAGAGAGCATTCGTGAGTGGGAAGGCAGTCAGGACACAGCGAACGATGCTGCGGCTACTGTCACTGCTGGTGTTGAAGCTGTCGATGGCCAGCCACGGGTAGTTGCGCCATACGAGCTGATTGACGGGGGTAGCGTGTGTGGGGACGGTCCGTCGTACCTGCACGCCAGTGTGCATTGTGGGACGGGCGTCGTGTCGATAGTGCCGAGGCAGCATGATGCAGACGAAAGTGGGAGGGAACACACCCTCGTTGTCGACTATCACTTGCGCGAGTCGATGAGTATAGCGCTGCACGCACTGGCCTACTCGCACAGTTCAGAAGGTGGGGAGGGGAGGACTGATGAGGGCAGCAGTGGATGGTCGCATGTGTGTCCGTTTTGTCCGCTGTGGCTGAGGGCTCATGAGGACCTTGTGTGAGTGAGAAGACAAGTGTGTTGCACCAATAAGAGCTGTGTGGCAATTTGTGCAGCGCTTTGAGACATGCATCGTTCAACCATCCATTCATTCATTTGGTGAACGAAGCCACGCAGTCAGCGAGTCTTGACAAAAGCAATCGTATCATGCATGAAGTCAGCCAAAGTTTTGCCCATAGTTGCCCACTCTTGCCCACTCTTGCCCAATACATGTATTGGCCCCTTCGCTCAATACAGAGACTCATCCACAATCCACAGACTCACTGGTGTGTCGTGTCAGTCGGTCGATTGACGGATCGAAGAGCCAATCGACAGACAGTGACAGATACGATGCATGTCTGTCTCTCATTGGATATACGTCTGTGCCGTGTGTACGAATGTTGGATCGATCGATCGGTGTTGCGTCGCACTCGACCAGGCACGACGCCCGTTTCATAGAGCATCACGACACCCATCGATCCAGCACCACTCACCCTATTACCCTCCCCCTGTCGATGACGTCGGTCTCGAGCTCGAAGTGCCGCAGCAGACGGCGCCATACGGGCATGGACTCCGGAAAGCGCTGAGCGAGTGGCTGAGACCGATCGGCAGCAGGTGCCTCGGTCGTCCGCAGCACGATGCGGCCATACCCCATCCACAGATATGCAGCCACGGTCTCGCCCTGGCGGACGCCGCTCACAATCACACGACGGTAATTAGTCGCATCAACATTCAGATGGCCCCATCACAGCGGTAGTCGACAGCGATGCCCTGATCCTCTGTGATGTCGTCGGTCCTCAGCAGACGGTCAAAGCGAGGGTCACCACGGCCGATGACTGCACCCGGCTGGCCGATCTGTGCAGTGAGCACGGACTTCTGACCCACCCCCTCTCCATCCCACCATTGGGAGAGCAGACTGTGCAGCAGGAATGTCGAGAATGAGGGGTAGAGGTTACCGCCCCAGCGGATGACGGGGTCGGTCCTCTGATAGCCGTCGGCATAGCCATGGCCGCCCCACAGCTCACCCAACGCCACTACACGGAACGACTGATTGCCGATGCGATAGTATCCGTTGCCGGCCGTTCGCTGCAGCGCCAGGCTGTGTCCATTGTGTGTAAGGAGGTGGCCGAACAGCCGATAGATGGCCATGGCCAATGGCAGCTGATGGAATGCCGTCCTGCTGGGCAGGTGGACTGTCAGCCACTGAGCCGACAGCACCAGGGGCAGCCCATTGGCAGGGGTCAGCCGATAGATGGCGGCCAGCCGGATGAACCGCCCCATCCCAGGCCACTCGTCGCTGCCCTGCTCCAGCACACCGCCCGCAGCACATAGGTGAATGGGAGAGGGGCGGTGCGGTCGATGTCGATGAGGCCGGTGAGTGAGTGGCGGGCCAGGGAGCCGTCGATGCGCTCCACCAGCAGAGCAGCCGTCACCTAGTCGCCTTCGCCCGGCAGCTCGCTCGGACACAGACCGCCTCATGGACGAGAAGGGACGGCAGAATGCGCCGGCGCCACAGGTCGTCGGGCACCGAATCAGACATTCGGACGACTCACTCAGTCAGCACCTGCCAGACAGCACACAGGCAGGACGCAAAGGAAGGGAGGATAAGTCCGTCGATGGGCCGATGTGGACTCGCGTGGCTCTTCTTGCCACGTGGCTCGCAAATTGGGGGGGGTCATGGGGGCGTCTCGCCACAAGGGCCAGTCTGTGGAGCAGACTGTTCAGTTTGCGGAGCAACGATCAACCGAGAACGAAGTCATGCGGGCGGACATGATATCTTTGTTCAGCCTGGTGGTTGTTCTCATCCTGAACAGGACCGGTGAGCCCTCAAATGGACGGAGCAGTGTCTGCAGATGCAGCCCTGCGCCTGTCTTGCACACATGGCGTTGTATACATTGGTTGTCTGCAGGCCATGCCGACCACATCTGCGGTGCCTTCGAGCCCGTCGACGACCAGCAGACCTGCCCAAACATAAGTGGCATGAGTGAGAAACAGCTGGCTGCACTCGGCGTCCCTGTTTCTGGTAGGCTAAGCCACATCACCGCCACGCACGCACGCCACACGCATCATGTACAGCACTCTGCAATGGTGTCTACGCGCTGTTCGTGCAGAGGACCTTGCTGAGGGGCCTGAAGGCAGAGCAAAGCTGGTCGTGACGGACGCCCCCGGCCTTTCGACGGATAGCGCTTGCTACAAGGGGGACGCCATCGAGAAGGCCCTGCAAGAGGCAGATGTGCTCGGTGTCGTAGATCTTCAAAAGCCATGCAAACTTGAAGACGAGCGACGTTTGTGCGAGGTATGTAACCCGTTGCATTCATTGTGCGACAGCGACTCCTGTCTCCTGTCAATTCACACGTGAATGGACAGGCATTGGGCGAAGAACTGAAGGGCAGGACGTCGGTTGAGGATGTGCGAGTCAAGCTCATTCAGGAGGTGGTGTCTCCAGGCACCGACATCCGCCTCATCGGCATCGAAGCCAACGACGACGGCACATGCATTGCCCATTACGGTCGGCCCATACATGCCTGCAGTTAAGCCTCGCTGTGCCCGGCATGTATGTGTATCATTCCAGAACCCATCAGAGGAGCAAGCGCCTTCCTAAATCTGACCCAGCTCAGGCAGCCCGGCCCGGAGATCGCGCAGGCTGGCAGATTTGCCGTTCTGCTGACTGAAGAGGTGGCCCCAGCCGCGCGAAGAACAATCACTCGCACAGGAAGGCGGGCTGGCAAGGTGCGACCCATGTCGGGAGGCAGAAAGACGAAGATCTTCATAACCGCCAAGGACATCACTGCCGCAGAGGCCAAGGAGGTCCTGCCTACCCTCGTGCAGAGCGCTGCCAAGGCTGGAGGTGGCGGGCTTCGTCAAGCCGTCGGCCGACAGGCCATGGCGAAGGCCCCCGTGGAAGCCGCGAAGAAAGACCTGATCAGCAAGGTGACGATATCATGCATGATGATGAGACATGCGTACAAATGGCAAATACACTGCAGCTGGTGGGTGATCTTGGCCTTAAAGCCAAGGGAGTGGCTGCGGCCGCAGGCACCGCCAGAGGGGTAAGCCGAAGACACCAACTAACAACACACGCAAACGACACGATGCGCAATGGAGAGAGATCATAACATTATCTGTTCAGGTCATCGGCGGTGGTCGCCTCCTGTGCATCGTCCTGGGTCTCGGCCTCTCGAGCAAGACGCTGATGGATGCCTCGAGAAGCGACGCCGGGTTCATCCAGCACGTGTTTTCTTCCATCCAACACGGCGGGGAGGACTTCATCGATACACTCAAGAAAGTCGCCCCCGGCATCAGTCCACAAAAGGTCGAGGGGATGCCTGAGCCCGGGGAGGAACAATGGGCCATCCAGACATGATCCAATCGGGCAGTGGCGGGCAGTAACGAACCACCCCGAGACGTAGACGTCCCTTCGCTTTTTGGCTGTCTGTCGCAAACTGTCTGAAGCCGATTCAATTTGACGTTGTGGACATGACTCGCACAATGAATGGCGTCACTTTGACAACACAGAAGATGTAGTCGCGGGTTACCAAAGACAATGAAAGGCACACACCAACACCAGCAAAAGAGATGCGTGTTTTGCTTTTGGTTATGTCTGCGAATGGTCCGTTCAAAGCCTCTGCAATGCGGCAAACCATCAAAAATTGAATTGTGGCGAGAATTCAATTGTTGAGACTGGGAGACGGCAAAATTTCAATTTCGGTCCTGTTCGGATTCTTCAAGCCACAGGCGACTTCATTTTCCCCTCGCGTCATCGGCATGCCGCCCGCCGTGGGAGGGCTCATCTTCCTCGTTTTGTCGTGGTGGAACGATTCGTCCGTTGCTGACAGCATTCACCCTCGCGCGAATGCCGACGGGCGCTTTTCATACCGTGGCAGTGCTGGCTGTGCTGTTCGGCGCGCTGGCACTGACACGGTATCACTTCCAGCACGGGAGTGAAATCTCCCTCAACACGACCGTAAGGAAGATCCCACGCCAGAATGCATCGACATCATATGCATTCCCTGCTCATACGTTTCCATGAATGCAGACCACCCTTAATGATAGAAACATGGCTGGCTCTTTCGAAGTCCAGATGTCGGTGCATGCACAGCCACATCAGCAGAGGTCTGACGAAGATCCTACGCCAGAATGCATCGACATCATATGCATTCCCTGCTCATACGTTTCCATGAATGCAGACCACCCGTGCTGAGGACCGCCCTGATGATGATAATGAACGACGAGTAGCCGACACATCTGCAGACCCTCTAGCCGACCACAATCAGCAGCAGGTCATAGCCTACGGCCGTCCCGCGCCTGCCGGTGCAGCCGCTGCTGGGAGTGAAATGGTGGTGGATGGGCAACTGGAGGGCCAGAAGCAGCACACGGCCGCATCTCGCGACTCCCTCATCCTCAAGTCGGCTTCCTCCCTCGAAGTCCAGAGGTCGGTCCATGCACAGCCACAGCCGTCCACCGCGGACGACGACGGGGCGCCCAGTGCAGCGGATAAGGCGGGTGCGGGTGATGGAGAAGGTAGCGGGGCAGTGGGGGAGGTAGTGGGGAAAGGATCCATTCTTATTGCTCTCCAATCGTTGCTCTCAATGCCGACGGGCGCTTTTCATACCGTGGCAGTGCTGGCTGTGCTGTTCGGCGCGCTGGCACTGACACGGTATCGCCTCAAGCACGGGAGTGAAATCTCCCTCAACACGACCGTAAGGAAGATCCCAGGCCAGAATGCATCGACATCATATGCATTCCCTGCTCATACGTTTCCATGAATGCAGACCACCCCTGCTGACAATGATAATGACATGGTGGTGGATGGGCGAGTGGAGGGCCAGAAGCAGCACACGGACGACAACCAGAGCCACATGGTGCCCGCTCCCCCAGCCGCATCTCGCGACTCTCTCATCAGTTGGGCGTACAAGCTCTTCGGGCTATCACAAATATCGCTGACGAGGTATGGATGTAACAACGGGCATTCACTGATGGAAGTGCCTCTTTCTTTGTGTCAGGGCCGCTCGCAGGGCGGCGATACTTCACGAGCGCGCGGGACTTCACGAGCTCCAGGTTAACTCGAAGGGCCACCACATCCATGGCACCCGCCGCCCCCACACCATACAGCACCACCACATGATGGACGGGGCAGCGCGTTTGGGCGTAACAATTGCTGCCTACATTTTATATTTGCTGTTGGTGGAAACTCGGCCGTACGTGCATGTCTCTGAGAGAGACAGACAGGAGAGAGCAGAGCAGTGCCGCAATGCCCTGCGAGTCCATCCACTCAGTCGACAAGCAGGCGGTGAAGCCCTGGTGGGAGCCTGACCAACAATACTTCAGGTGAGCGAGAGGGGGATGTAAGTGTGTCAGGCAGGCACCACAGCGACAAACACACGGACGCCGCAAGCGCGATGAGAGAGAGCTTCCGGCGTGCTGCCGAGCAGCAGGAGTACAGGCGGCTGCTGTCGGTGGGTGCTTCGCCATCTGCACACATTATCGAGCGGCGGCCGGCCAGCTGGGCCATGACGTGGGAGAGAGTGTGGCGTGTATCTTACGGCGTCTGTTATCTCTCATGCGGCATATTTGTGGTGGCATTCATCCTCTGGCTGGCCTACATCTACCTTTGGTCAGCGTGGCAGGCGGAGGACCACAAACGGTGGCAGGAGCGAAATTACTCGGCCGATATGAAGGCCAAGGACAAGTAAGCCTAAACATACAACAGAGGCAGACAGGCAGGCAGAGAATATACATTCACTTTGCACGAAGGTCATTGGATCCCTCTTTGCCAAGGAGTTGCTGAGGACCAACTCGTGAGCACCTATAGCAGATATACAGACACACGGCAATCGATCGACTGATGTGGGTATCTCTTGTCACTCAGGCTGCGGCACAAAACCTGCTGCGTGAGAAGGAAGAGGAGACCCGGCTAAAGGAGGAAATGGTAAACTACACAACAAAACAAGAACCCAACAGGCCGTCTTGCCATAATTCATTCCTTCGTTGCAGGCCAAGTTTGAGCTACAACACCTCTTCGACAGGCTGGCGCACAAAGACGACCTAGGTAAGAGGAGACACGTCTGATCATGAAACAGTCAACATGTGTATGTGTGTGTGGTGTCGTTCTGTGTGTTGTTTTGTGCTCTCCCTCTCTTCATTTAGTGCACCAGGGCGTCGTGTCGGGATGTGACGCCGAGTATGCCTGCAGCCGCCCACTGGACGAAGAGGACAACGGTGGATGGCTGGGTGGGTGTGGAAGTGAACGACGTTCGAATTATTTGTGTGCATATCCAGAGACGCGTTGGCCAAGGTCGCCACGCCCCGCATCGTCATAGGGCAGCGGCGGTCTCCCAGATGGACCGAGACTGGCTCTTCGTGGGGCGGGTGTACTATGGGGTTTGCTACGTATCTTGGGCTATTCTTGCAGTGGCATTCGTCGGCTGGATCCGCCAAGCAGGCCGAGGAGACCAAGAGGTGGCGAGAAAGGCTGTACCTGGAGGACATGAAGGCCAAGGACAAGTAAACCTATACAGACTGCTTACACGACTGATCCATCCATCCATCCATCCTTGGCTCCCGTCTCACCGGTCTATCCTGCAGGAAGGCCGAATTGTACCTCACCTATGCCGTGGCTGCCGGGGGCGGGCTCCTGAGGAGCATCGAGCTCTTAAAGGCCAGCGCCAATGCCCTGCGCCAACTGGTACCTACAGAAGACATATGCACACACGTCGATCCATCGATCGACTCATGTACACCTTTTCGGTCGCTCAGGCTGCGGCACAGGAGCAGCTATGTATCAAGGACGAGAAGATCGCCAGGCTGAAAGAGCAAGTGGTACGATACACACAACAGACAGAAGGGAACAGCCCGCGCCAATAGTCCGCCAATGCTGCCATTAATGTCTGCAGGCCAAGCTGGAGAGCGCAGGCCCCCGTCCCTCCTCGCAAGTGGAAAGATCTGCACACAGACCCACCGCGAGCGGATGGATCGATGACATCTACGCGTTCCTTCTCTCACTCTCCATCTACTCTCTTTCTCCTTCTCTGTGGTTCTGGTTCATGCAGGGTTAGCAAGCGCTCATACCACCTCAGCAAGGCAAACGGACATAAGGGCCCACAGGACTGCTGGCTCGAGGTACACACAAAGACAAGCCCATATGAATGCTGGCTCGAGGAACCTATCCATGTCTGTATTCATGCATCGTGTGTCACTTCGTCTGTTCCTCTCTGTCTGTTCTGCAGGCCGAGCGCATCGAGTACGATTGCCCGTGCCGGATCGTGACGCCCGATACGTGAGACGCGTCCAGTACATTGCTGCCTACACTTTATATTTTCTGTCGGTGGAACTCATGCCACGTGAGCTGTTGGACTTGATGCGTGACTGCGTCATTCGCTCTTAATCTCATACACGTAAGCCGCCCCGCACGGTGGGGCCGCACCACGCACGCACACCACTCAGTCAGCGACCAACGGCTTCGCCGATTGGTCACACAAAAAATAAACCCACGCATAAATGCAACCGCACAAACCCCGATAAAGCAACTAAACACACAACACACTACACGTAAGTGTCATCAACTACAACTACATCAAGTATACAGATTATCAGGGCATGGAAGGGTAGAAAAAGAAATGGCGAGCATCCAACTCGACCATCGACGCCTGGTGGGAGGGTGACACACACATACACACACACACACACATCCATCCATCCGTCTCGCCCTTGTGAGGTGTGTCTCCGTGTGAGGCGGTTGGTTACCGCCTGCCAGTTGCTCTCGGGTGTGCTGCTTGGGTTGGCCTCGGCCAAATAATACGCGCGCACGCTCACTCTGAGAGCGCGAAGCGAAGGAGGGAGATACACCGCAAATGGGTGTGTGCCTTCCAGTCCTCCCTCTTTGCGTACCGGTCCCGCATGGTGCCCTCTACGATCGTGCCGGCCGTCGGCACGGCACCGTCGCGCTTTTGCTGCTCCTCTCTCTCGCTCTGGAGCCTCTCACACAGGGCCTTGTACTTGTTCGCCTCCTCCTGCCAGTACCTGAGTAGACACAGAGAGACATGAATGGATGAGTGACATATTTGCGTCATGGATTTTTGGCTGCTTACAGCGACTCCCGCTCCAGATCATGGATCTTATCCTGAAGCGAAAATGCATCACACAACGAGACGGGGTGAATGGGTGACGGGTGGATGGATGCACGCATACTGCCTGCATAAAATGACGCCTACCTGCTGCTGCTGCTGCTGGCTCTCTTGCTGCTGTGTGAGGGCCTCCCTCTGCTGCCTCCTAAGGTACGTAACACAAGGCACACGTACGTATGTGTTGCACGTTCTGTGCATCCATCCTTTTCTCTCTTACGTTTCTTTTCGGCAGTAGTTGGCGTGTTCGGCGAACATCGCAAAGGTGGGCCGCACGGACAGCTCTGCCGTCACATGGCTGCGGCTCGCCCTTATGGCCATGTAGCCGCACATTCCCCATATCAGGAGGCCGATGACCAACAGGAGGTACAGCAGCCTCTTGGGGAATGTGCAGCTGGAGCACGAGGGGCCGCTGTAGATAGCCATGGCGGCGCGGCTCTCCAAATCCCTCTCGGCAACATTTGCCTCGTCCACGCCCTTCAGCATCGACTCGCCGCCATTGTTGCCGTTGTTGTCGCCGTACATCAGCCGCTCGAAGTTGTCACGCTTCAGCTGAGATGGCTGTGCAGCCGATGCTGCAGCAGTGCTGCCAGCAGGTGCTGCGCTGCCGCCGCTGGGGGCTCTCCTTTCGCCTTCTTGGCTGGCTCGGCAGCTTCGCCCTCGGCTCGTGCTCGCTTGTTGTTGCCCGCTGTCGCCTCGATGTCGGCCAGATGCGAATGGTCCGCCGTCTGGTCGGTGACTGCAGCTGCTGCAGGAGGCGGCGTGAACACCACAATCTCCTCCTTGGCCCATCGCTTGGCACGCTCCACGGCCCTGACACAAACACAGAGGAAGTGCCACGAGTGAGTGCTCATCCCATCCAGTCCCGTCTGCCTGCTTACCGCTTCAGTGAGATTCTTGATGGCCCGAAATATGTCCCGAAATGCCTCTCGAGCCAGCTCATAGACTGATGCACCCACACGGTACACAACCAGAGAAAGACGAATTCATCGAGAAATGAGTACGGACATCGCATCCATCCGTACCTTGGCACCGCTCGCCTCACGCCGCTCCCCACGATCGGTGTTGGCATGGCTGTCGTCTGCTGGGGAGGTCATGGGCACCAGAGGCACGTACACGTCCTCGATGCCCGGGTCCACCGAACGGCCGGCCGCATCCGCAAACCTCGCCACCTCCCCCGCTGCCCCGCTACCTTCTCCATCACCCGCACCCGCCTTATCCGCTGCACTGCGCGACCCGTCGTCAGCGTTGGACGGCTGTGGCTGTGCATGCACCGACATCTGGACTTCGAAAGAGGAAGCCGACTTGAGGATGAGAGTGTCGCGAGATGCGGCCGTGTGCTGCTCCTGGCCCTCCACTCGCCCATCCACGGCTATGGGGTCTGCAGAGGTGTCTGTGGTCTCGCTGCGGTGCAGACCCAAGGAATGATCAATCTGAACAGGCGACAAACACACACACACACGCGTGCATCCATCTGGCTGTGTTTCCTTTCGTTTGCCTGTGGGTGATCGCTGACCTGCTGTATGGCGTTTGGTCCTCCTCCCTCCACCGCCCATTCGTCCCCCTCGGCCACTGCCCTCTTGCTCTTGCGCCGTGTGCGCTGCTCCGCCCTGCCCCCATCACCCATCGCCCCCTCCACTGCCTCCTCCTTGACAGCACCCATCAGAAGGGCACTCTCGTCGTGGTCCCCCGCCTGCAGCCGCCCCGCCATGTCTGCTGCATGACGCGCCTTGGCCTGGATCAGATCGCCACTGATCTCCACGGGGTCCTCCAGCTCCATCTCGCGCCTGACCTTCGGCTTGCCGCTCTTGGAACGAGCCTTGTGCTTCCGGGGGGCACACCGTGCGAGTGCGTGTGAGTGGAAGGGCTGCTGGAAGTTGCGGCAGATGTGCAGGAAGCTGGGGGGCGGCATGTCTGAGTCCTTGCGGCCTTCGTCGGATGAGCTCACGTTGCCCTCGGCCCCCGACCTCGCCCACAGCCGATGCGCCACCAGTGGGTTGAGCAGCGGGAGGGACTTCTTGCTGTTGACTGAGGGGTATGGACAGTAGGGGGGGTTGGCGGCTCCCACATCCACACCCGCACCCAGGCCCACTCCGAGTGCTGGGAAGCACCCCGGGCAGCCCTCGCAGCCTTGCTGGTACTGCTTGGAGAACAGGTAGTGCCCGCTCGCCTCACGCCGCTCCCCACGATCGCTGCTGGCATGGCTGTCGTCTGCTGGGGAGGTCATGGGCACCAGAGGCACGTACACATCCTCGATGCCTGGGTCCACCGAACGGCCGGCCGCATCCGCAAACCTCGCCACCTCCCCCACTGCCCCGCTACCTTCTCCATCACCCGAACCCGCCTTATCCGCTGCACTGCGCGCCCCGTCGTCTGTGTTGGACGGCTGTGGCTGTGCATGCACTGACTTCTGGACTTCGAAATTGCCAGCCATGTTTCTATCATTAAGGGTGATCTGCATTCATGGAAGCGTATGAGCAGGGAATGCATATGATGTCGATGCATTCTGGCGTGGGATCTGCCTTACGGTCGTGTTGAGAGAGATTTCACTCTCGTGCTGGAAGTGATACCGTGTCAGTGCCAGCGCGCCGAACAGCACAGCCAGCACTGCCACGGTATGAAAAGCGCCCGTCGGCATTGAGAGCAACGATTGGAGAGCAATAAGAATGGGTCCTCACGTTAACCTTCGCAGAACCTGTTTGCAAAGGCAGATTTCTTTTTTTTCGAGGGATCGACACGGGCCGCGGCCAGGCTCGCAGCTGCTCGCGCTTTGATCGGGATTTCGGGCAGATCCCCTCCACCAAGTGGGAGGAGCCTATGGAAGGCACATCGAACCGACACTGGATCTTTTCACCGCACGTCGAAACGACGCCAAGAGTTCGTATTCAGCTGCACTGGGGAAGCATGGAGCACTGCAACGACGCCAAAAGGGTATCTCACAGCCATGGGCAGGCACAACACAAACGAACACATGGACTTGGCTGTTTGGCTGTCTGATCCCGTCAGGCACATACACACAGCTCACACATACATCATTGGCACATGCCGGCAGCAACGCACCAGTCAGCACACTGTAAGGCCGCCGGGACCCCCAGACAGAGCACACGCATCCAACAAATGCAGACAGACAGACACACCGTCAGCCAGCCAGCCGGACTCAGCCACACCGAGGCATGCACGAACAGATAGGAACGAAGGTATGCAATTGACACGGTGTATATATACACTCATATCGGGTACGAAGACAGTATACACACGAGTGGAATGACGCTCATGCAGATGCTGACCGTCCACACGAACCCCATAGTGATGGATGGTCGACCAGGAAGGAGGCAAATGGAATGCCTAGAGAGGGGCAAAAATGCGATGGATACGTATGGAGAACCAACTCACATGACGACCTTAAACCTACTTACTTACGATGAATCATCCGGGTACACACACGCATAAACAGCCACGCCCTGTCATGCATATCCACGCATGTACCTTTACATGTATGTGTGAACCCACATGACACTCCGCCCCTCTTGTCAAAAAACGACAACTGATCGAGCCGCCGAACCGACAGCACCGCAGCCACCCACCCTGCAGCATGATGACAGCAACAACAAACATCCAACAACGGCCGTCAGTCATCCATCGTTCACGTACTGTCATTGCCCGGGCGTCTGTCGCCTGCACATGATCTACGGGATTGGCACACGCACCTGCACATTTGGATGAGCCAAACAGACACAATGAACCACGCTGGTCCTTCCCCTCCCTCCCTCCCTCCTTTTTGACGTGTTCTTGCTGACCGCATTCGTGTCGATGCTTTCGATCCAGCTGACAATGGACGCCACCTTGCCCTTCTTGAAGAGGTGCTGGAGCTCCATGCTCGCATCGCTCGCCTTGAGACCCACGCAACGGGCAAGGGTCTCGCCATCCACCTCGTCCTGCAGTCACAGACGGCATCGGCAGACACACATATGGGTGCTTGCAGCACCGCATTCGCTCATCCACCTCCTCGATGACATTCGTCAGGTCCCGCAGTCCCTTATGCTGTCGAAATATGGCCACGATATCCTTGGTACTCAGTTGGGACAGCGCAACCGTCTTGTACGTGGAAATGCCGCCTGCTCCGTCCACAGAGAGAGATATATGCAGGTGTGGCAGTGTGCTTCGTGCGTGCTGGCTGACCGACCCTTCTCCTCCTTCTTGACGCGACCTCCAGCCCCGGCAGCGGCAGCGGCAGCAGCCGCCCCAGCACCACCTTATGAGACAGACAGCATTGACACTCACACTGTGCAGACGCGCCCGTCGGTGGTCTCTCCGTTCCCCTTACCAGGTGGCTCGTTCGCCCCTTGGTTGTTGTCTTCTTTGTCCGACTCGAGGTCGATGAAAGGAATGCCGCCTTGGTTGCCGGGCGCCAACCCTGCCCCCATGCCGCCCCGAATGCCCGCCGGACCACCGCTATCACCACCACCTTGCCCGTCACCTGCCTCCTGCTTGATGCTGCCGACGCTGCCGACAGCTGGCGGGCCATCATGGCAATCCTCACGCACACGAGGGGCTGACAACACAACACAACACAAGTAAGTCAGCGCCACGGACGAGTGTGCGATAGATCCATGAATTGTCATCTTGCCTCGGGAGGAACGGTCCTTGGCCTTGTGCTTGCGCTCCTTTTTGCAGCCGGGCGCAGCAGCAGCAGCAGCAGCAGCAGCGCCACCTGCGTGGCTCTCCGTGTTGCTCTTGCCTGGTAGGTGCAGACATACATAAACAGACGCCGATCGGTTGTATGGTATGGTCTCTTTGTGTGCGGTGCCGTCTTACGTGGCCTCAGTTTGGGCTTGTTGTGCTGCTTGGGCGGGGAGGGAGAGGGCGAACGGCGCTCATCAGTGGTTGGAAAAAAAAGAGGAAAGAGAATATGGCCGGCATATGTCACTCGCGTATGAGCCCCCTCCTCCCTCTTGGCGACCGTGTGTACCTGTGCGGCGCCGTTTTTTGACGCGTCTGTCCGCTTTGCCGCCCCGCCCCTTGCGCTTGCCGTAGTTGTCAGCACTTGAGGGGCCGGCCGCGGCGGCCGCGGCTGCTGCTGCTGCTGCTGCAGGTGGCTCGGTCTGGCCCTGACACAGACAGACAGACCATTGATTGACATCGCACCATCCCTGTTGCCCCTCCCTCCCCCAGCCCTCTTTCTCTCGCCCACCTCATCGTCTGGGAAGCGATGCTTGTCCAGCACCTCCTCCCAGCAGTTGAGCGGCGGGATCTTGTGCTTGGCGAACTCAGCGTTGCGCAACTCGATGGCCCTCCGCACACCGCGGCGAGCGCCGCACCTCTTGATGCCGATGGTCTTCTTGAACGTGGCCCCCGAGCGGCAAAGCTTTACTTGGACGCTCAACGGTTGCTCGAAGCCACTAGAAACAATGATGCCCAGTGGATGGGGCCCGTTGAGACACTGTCTCCTCAGTTTCTTGAAGAGGGCAGACATGGACTCCCTGGCCTGACAGGCAGAATGACAACATGCGCGGACGGTGTGTGAGTGTGTGATGGATGGGTGGATTCGCCCGCCCACCTCGTCACGCCCCTCCTCGGAGTCGTCGGCGCACTCACTGTCGGTGTCAGCCTCCTCGCTGTCCTCACCCTCAGAGTCAACCTTGCCTGCACACACCAACACACACCCAGAGAACGGACCACATAACGGGAGACCGCAATGTGTCGGTCAGTCAGCCATAGTCACCGTACCTCGACGGCGCCTCTTGGCCCGTTTGGTGTTGCCCCGCCCCTTCCGCTTGCCGTAGTTGTGAGCATTTGAGGGACCGGCCGCGGCGGCCGCAGCTGCTGCAGGTGGCTCGGCCTGGCCCTGACAGAAACAGCTGTCTCTTCCTCGTTGCCCCTCCCTCCCCCACCCTCTCACTTTCGCGCACCTCATCGTCCGGAAAGAGATGGTTGTCCAGCACCTCCTCCCAGCCCTCGAGCGGCGAGATGTCGAACTGAGTGGCCAGCTGATTGCGGAGCTTGATTGCTGCCTTCACAGCGCCACGGGCACCGCCATCGCACCCCCCAATGTGGAAGGACCGGTAGGCCCTGTCTTTTCCACTGCCCATGTCAACCCTGACGAACGGTCGCTGCGTGGGCTGGTTGTGGTAGACGTAGATATGAATCGTGGACTTTGAAAGTCCGCTGAGCTTGTCGACACAATCTCGCAGAGACTTGAAGAGTTTGGCCTGGTGACAACATGGACGAACAGTGAGTCACTGAGAGACGGGTGTGGTGCATCTCGTTCGCTCACGTAGGCCTTGTTGCGATTGTGCCGGCCGGTGTCGCCTTCCTCGCTGTCCTCACTGTCCTCCTCCTCAGAGCCGTCAGCCCCGCCACCACTGCCGACCTTGTCTGCACACACCGACACACACAGGTTTGACCGGACAACCAATGCGCTACCTGCCTGTTGCTGTGCTGCCTTACGGCGTTTCTGCTTAAGGCGATTGTTGCCCCCGCCCGCTGCCGCGGCTGCGGCACCTGATGGACGCACACGCGCGCATTCACACATGATGACGTGCCTATGTGGGGTGCTGTCTTACTCGGGTTGCGCTTGGACTTCTTGTGGTGCTTGCGCTGCATGGAAGAGGGCATGACACACACACATTTCGTGCACATGACACTGTGTTGCTGTCCCGTCCTTGTCGCCCCTCTCCAGCCCTCTTTCTCTCGCCCACCTCATCGTCTGGAAAGCGATGCTTCTCCAGCACCTCCTCCCAGCCCTCGAGCGGCGGGATGTCATGCTTGGCGAACTCAGCATTGCGGATCCCGATTGCAATCGTCACAGCCTGGCGAGTGCCACCCCTCGTGATGGAGACGTACTTGGAAAGAGGTTTGGCCCCCGAGCGGCTGAGCTGCACCTGGATGCCTGGGAAGTCCCTGCCGCTCATCCGAACACTGATGCCCAGTGGGTGTTCCTCGTCCTTGTCGAGACATTTAGTCCTCAGGATGTCGAAGAACTCGTTCAGAGCCCTTTTGGTCTGACAGGCAAAATGACAAGATGGGCGAGCAGTGGATGAGTGAGTGACGGGTGCGGTGCATTTCGCTCGCTCACATTGTAGGCCTTGTTGCCATTGTCCTGGTCGTCACTGCCGGTGTCGCCCTCCTCGCTGTCCTCCTCGTCCGCGTCGTCAGCCCCCCGGCCACTGCCGACCTTGCCTGCACACAACGGCATACATCCAGAGAACGGAAAGTGGGTGGGTCGGCTGTGTGGTGCTGCTGTGATGGTGGTGCTGCGGTGACTTACGGCCTCTCTGCGTGTGGCGTGGAGGCTCGCCAGCGTTGTCAGGATCCTGATGTGATGTGATACACGTGGAGAGAAGGGCAGGCGGACATGCAGACTATGTGGCGCTCTGTCTTACTTGCTCTCCCTTGTCGGCCGCCTCACTCATGTCTTCGTCATCGACTGCCACATCATGACCTGAACGGAACGCACACGTGCGAAGATAGTAATGCACACGTGCAATGCAATGCAATGCAGCCCACCCCAGCTCACCCACCTCCTGAGCCACACGACATCCCCTCGGCACCGCGGCCATCGTTGCCCTCGTCATCACCTCCCCCGTTGCTGTGATGTCGGCTGCTGCCGCGCTGACCAGTGGAGGGCGGTGGATCGGCAGCGGCAGCCGCCTGCTCGGAGGCAGCCGCATCACCATCACCAATAGCAGCAGCCGCAGCTGGTTGGTCGGAAGCAGCCGCACCGCCGTCGCCGGCACCAGACTGGATGCCCTCCTTGTGTTCCTCCTCCTCCTTCTTGATAAGTGGAGTCGCCATCGGTGAGCCAAACGACCTCACCTGAACACACAGACACGCACAGATCCCAGACGAATGCAGGGCTGTCCGCATCTATGGACAGACTGGCCTTCCTCCACCGGCCTCTCTGCGCCTCTTCGCCTGCCTGTGTGTTCCTCGTGTGTCTGCGTCTGTGTACCTGCTCTGCCTCACCTGAGCAGCACTCGGCGTCAGTAGGAGTAGACAGATGCGCGCAGTCAATCAGCGCGCCGACTCAAAAACCGACAAGGGTACGTCTACAGACTTCCAGTGCGGCACAGCATACAAACAGAAAAGGAGAAGTGCAGCAGATCTGCGAGCTTAGATCGGCTGACGAGCAGGTGAGGAGAACGCGAACCAGCTCTGCACGACAGCCTTGTGGATCCCTTTGACCGTCTTATGAGCGAAGGAACTGAAGAAATCGCGAAATCTACCAGTGTCGTGGATGCGATGGCTGCGGTGGTTTCTGACCTGCTGGGCTCCGAGGACCATACGGGCTTATTCCAGATGGGTGGACAACGCGAAGAAGATGCAGCACCAGAGAATCGACGAGAAGATGCAGAAAATGAAGAGCCCGAAACTGACACAGCGGACGCCGGTGAAGGCGATGAAGACAGCGGGGAGGACAAACCGCCAGAGGACCAGGAAGAACAGCAGGAAGAAGCCGATGCCGATGCAGCCGCGTCTAACGCCACGGACGCCACAAACACGACCACAGCAGCAGCGGCCGCACAGCCCCAGCCGACGCTCCCACCCAACGTGGCGTCAGTGGTGTCACAGACACTGGGCCAGCTCAACGAGACTCTCTCCACCAACGCCACATGGTCGGTGCTGCAACACTTGAACGACTCCACTGCCCCTCTGATGAATGACGCCGGCCTGGCTTACCTCAACACCACTCTGGGCATGGGTGTGCCGCCCGTGATAGTGGTCATCAAGGCGCTGGACCCGCCGGCATGGGCGACGGCGACCCCCACGACGCCGCCCAAGTCGGTTGATGAGGATACGCCCCCGCCGCTTGAGCTATTGAAGAGCGAGGAGAAGGAGGTGGTGGTGTCGACAGGGCTGCTGCTGCTGCTGATCATACTGGTGGTGTCGCTCTTCGGTGCGCATGTGTTGAAGAAGCTGAAGGTCAAGTGGCTGCAGCTGCCTGTGTGGGCCACCTTCCTGGGGCTTATCACGGGGGCCATGCTCAAATACGTCTACAAACAGGTGGGTGGGTGGAAGGGGGAGGGAGGGAGGGAGAGTGCTTGTGTGTTTGGCCATACTGTCTGTCTGTCCGTCTGTGAGGGATCAGGAAACGATACTTGAGAACATCTTGGCCTTCAACGATGATGTGTTCTTCATCCTGTTGCTGCCGCCCATCATTTTCGAAAGGTACGCCTTCACACGCCGATTGCCGCACAATCACCCCGTTGTGTGCTGCCTACCTTCACGTCTGTTGGCTCAGTGGCTTTTCGATGTCCGGCAACCGCGCCCGTCTGTTCTTCAAACACTTCGGGGCTATCCTATGGTTCGCACTCTTCGCAACCCTGGTCAGCCAGTCAGAAAATGACTGTCGGGCAAACGTATCAGTGCTTTGTGTGTGGGTGTGTGTTCAGATGTCGTTTGTGTGGGTCGGGGCCATGATGTTCTTCTCGGGGCAGATTGGCATCTGCAAGGTCAGCAGTGACAGGGCGGCCCGATAGCTACGCACCCCATTGACCATTGCGGCAACGATTGCTGACGTGTGTATCTGTCTGTCTGTCTGTGTGTCGATGGCTCAGGCATTGACTCTGCAGGAGAGCTTCGCATTCGGGGCGCTGATCTCGTCCACTGACCCTGGTGAGTCAGTGGAAGGAAGGGCTCGTGCCGTGCATTTCTATGTGGGTGGATTCGTGTGTGTGTGTCTGTGTGTGTGTGTGATTGACTGCAGTGTCCGTGTTGGCGATCTTCAAGGAGATGAATGCCGATGCCGTGCTCTACACACTGGTATAGCACATCACATAGCACAGAGATCCTGCTCGGCCCACCCCCCCACGCACAGTGGCTTGCGTATCCAATCCACACATACAGATTTTCGGTGAGAGTCTGCTCAATGATGCCATCGCTATCGTCCTATACAGGTGAGGCCAACGCACCCACACACCCAAGTCAGGCAGGCAGCCTATTGCACCCACCCACACGGCGGTGCGTTCCTGTGTGGGCGTTCCTGTGTGGGCTATTGTGTGTGGTCTGGTCAGGACGATAGTGTCTGAGAGTTCGACTGACATCTGGAGGGCCACGGTGTCGTTCCTGGTGGTGTTCGCGTCGTCATTCGTCATTGGGGTGGCCGTCGGACTCATATCAGCACTGGTACGTCTTCATGGCAGGGGGGAGGGAGGGCCACGGCGCCATACACAGCCAATTTTCCCTCTGTCTGTGTGTGTGTCTGTCTGTCTGTCTGTCTGTGGTGCAGACGTACAAGTACATGGACCTGCACAAAGTGGAGAACCAGGTGGGTGAGTAAGGGAGTGACAGGCCCACTCACACACCCATGCTGCCTGCCTGCCTGGGACGGATATGTGTGTGCAGGTATTGGAGGCGTCGCTGCTCCTCATTTTCCCGTGGATCGCCTACCTTGTCGCTGACGTACGGTGCACAGAGACAACCAGAAGACATCCATCCATCCATCTCATCTTACGATGCCTGCAGGGTTTCGGTCATTCCGGCATTGTGGCCATCCTCTTTTGCGGCATCGTGATGGCCCACTACACCTACCCAAACCTCTCTGACTCGGCGCAGAACCTTGGACACAGTGAGTGAGAGAATATACACTAACTACGGCAACCAACCGAGGCATCCATCGTGCCACAATACTCTCTCTCTCTCTCTCTGTGCAGGTGTGTTCTCTGCCTTGGCTCTGTTGGCCGAGAGTGTGGTGTTTGTGTTCCTTGGGCTGGCCGTGTGGTCCTTCAATCAGACTTGGGAGTCAGTCTGTCATGAATGACCACCGACAGATGCACAGACACATCCATCCATCCATCCATCGTATTTGTTCTGTGTTGTGTGTGCGGTGTGTGCGCAGTGTGCCGATGTTGCTGGTGTGCACTCTGTTGTACGTCACGATGGGCAGGATCATATCGGTCTACGCGACGGCCTTCTTTGTCAACCTCTTCAGGACATCCACCAAGATACCCAGAAACTTCCAAGTCAGTGCACCACAACCAAAGAGAACAGCTGACGCACTGTGGGACTTCTCTCTTTCTTTCAGCACATAATGGTCATTGGTGGTCTTCGCGGCGCCATCGGTGAGGAATTATCAACTGCAGTCAGTGCTGCTGACGACCTCTATGTCTGTGTGTGTGGTCGCTTACTTCTTCCTTCCTCAGCGTTCGCACTATCGTTGCGTGCCCGTCATGACTTCAAGGAGGAGGGCGGCCCCGCCCTGCTCACCATCACCCTCTTCTACGCACTCTTCACAATCGTCGGCATCGGTCGGACAGCCCAGCCCAGCCACAATCAATAAGCAAACACGGCCGCACTGTGTGTGTGGTGTGTGTGCCAACCAGGCTCTGTGAGTGTGCCGATCTTCGAAAAGCTGGATGTCTTTGAAAAGTACAATGAAAAGTACAGCCAGCCGATTGACGGACTGACAATGACAATCATCCGGTACTGCTTGCGTGCGTGCGTGGCTGTCTTCAGGGAGTCATGTGCGTACGAGCTGATCCGGCCGACGACCGAGTCGCTCACCTCAGGTCGGCGGGGTGGGGTGGGTGAGGGCATTATGCCTGAGAGTGGGTGGGTGTTGGGCCTATGGATGTGTGTGTGTGTGTGTGTGTGTGCAGGGCAGTGTGGTTGCCTCAAGCGGGCCATATTCAGAGTCGACAGAGAGTGAGCCAACCAACCAACCAGAAAGGCAAAGGCACGCTGCTGTCGGTTGCCACTGATCGTCGTGCTACGAACGTGCCTTTACATCAGGTTCATGCGGAAGATCTTCACTAACGCGCCAACAGGCCGAGGTAGGGAGGAGGGAGATGCACACAAACACAACGAGACAAGCCAGGCGCTGCATGAACTCTCTGCTCTGTGCGTGCGTGTGTGCGTTGGCATCATCTCGATCAGGGAGTGTGTCCCGCGGTCCCTCTCCGTCCTCATCGTTCCACATCAACAGCGGCCGGGGCGGCCGCGGCAGCTTCGTAGAAATGGAAACATCACCTTCACACAGATCCTACGACCCTAGACAAGCCGACGCCAGACTCAGTAAGCACACCACCCCCACACCAAGAGGGGCAGACGTACACGCGCATTCTAATGGCTGTGTGTGGGTGTGTATGTGTGCGTGTGGTTCGAACATGCAGGCGTGCATCCAGTCATATCTCCTCCTCCGGGAATTTCTCCCGAGATGGTCGGCAGGCGCACCCCAAAGGACGACCACGTCGACCTGGAAAGGCTCCCAGACGCCGCCCCATACTCCGACTCCGACGGCCCGCCAAGACAGCACCGCTCATCGATGCGGCCGTCCGGGCGGATGCTGCACTACGTCGAACCATCAGCAGCAGCACCAGCGGCAGTGGGCGGCAAGAAAGGCCCCGTCGCCCCGCAACCCCCCTCCCACAACCTTCTAGACCTCTCATCTAACCCCCTCAGCCGCGGCCACGCCATGAACGGCACTGTCGGCCTCAACGGCGAGCCGTCGACATTGACAAGACAGCCAGCGGGCCCCAGTGGCAGCAGTGAGTCGAGCGGGCGGGAGGCCGACGAGGAAATGTCGCCGTCGTCAGATATGAACAACGAGATGAGTCAGGACAGCGGGGGCCAGGGGGAGACCGGCAGAAGCGCCATTTGATTGATGTGATGAATCCGATCGATCGGGCTGCTGACTGCTTTTTGAGTGCTTGTTGGCTTACTGTGGCTGCGCCGCGCCTTTTTCGGGTGCTCGGTGTGTGCAGATCAGATTGCGTGTGTTGTGTCGGTGAGGGTGCGGTGCCGTCGATCGATCCACCCCATTCCGTGGGCAGCGAGTGTACGGACCAGTCAGTGTACACCTGTATGACAGACTGAGCTGCCATGTGGTGGGTGGGTGGATGGACGGACGGATGGACGGACGGATGGATGGATGGATGTGACACGCGAGTTTTTCTCTCGGTGTGTGTGTGTGCGTGACGCGAAGGGAGGCACTTAATTATAGTGTGTGTATGTGTGTGTAAGTTAAGTGTGGACAGACCTTGATTCTTCAATGTTCCATCCAACGATGCATTGTAAAGAGCGAAGGCATTGATTTGATAACACAGACACACAGAATACTCAGGAGTCAGTGTGCAGTGCAGTGTGAGAGGGAGAGGGAGCATGCGGCCGCGATAGACCTGCCCTCCCGCCACTGTCACACACATGTACCCTCGCCACACACCCTCCCACGAATGCACCCATCTAGGCCCCTAGTGTGTTGGTGTTGTGTTGACACCTCGGCTCGAAACTGGCCGGGCGCAAAAATACACAGACAGCCACACCGCACCGCCGACCCGACGGATGGACGCGCACACACAGACAGGACAGCAGGTAGGGAGAGAGGGGGGCCCTGGAGGAGACGGAGGGGTTTTAGCCAGCAATAGACAGACACACAGACAGACGTCAGTCGTCCAACGCATCCAGGTCATCCTGTACACAACACAACACATGGATGTATCCAACCACACGCACTTGTGAATCGACCATCCTCCCTGTCTGCTTACCGGTACATCGTCTTCAAGGAAGAGTTCTTCTTTGCTGACGGCCACCCCGTTGGCCACCCTCTCCTCAACGACATTGCCGTCCTCCTGCTGTTGGTGGTGGGGGGGTGGCGGTGCGGCGCTGGAGGAGGACGGCTCGTCGTCTGGTGGGTAGGCCGCGCTGGAGCTGGATGGCTGGGGCATGTCGTCGTCCTCGTCGATGTTATCCCCATCGACATGCTCACACGCGCCCTCATCGCCATCGTCGTCGCCTGCACTCATTGAGTGATTGATTGATTGACGCACGCACGTGTGTGGTGTCTGTCTGTCTCTCTGTGGGTGGGTCAGTGAGTGCTTTGTTCGCCTACCGTCCTGCTGCTCGTCCTCGTCTCCGTCATCGTCCTCTCCCTCCCCGCCATCGTCTGCGTCATCGCCATTCTCGGCCTCCATCTCACGCTCAGCCCGCAGCTCGTCCTCCCTATCAAACACACACACACGCACACATATAAACGTTCCATGACGGTTGGTGTGTGTATGTGTGTGTACCTTTCCCTGAGTATCCGCTCGTTCTCTGCAAGTTGCTCGTTCCAGTACTCCTCGTCGGCATCGTATTCGTCGGCATCCGCCGCGTCGTCGTCATCCACAAACAGACTGAACACACACACACACAAACATACAGATGGATCACATCGATTCATCGAAAAGTGAATGTGTGTGTGTGAGCTGATTGATTGCGTACGTCGGGTCGTAGGTGAAAAGGTCCCTGCCGGACATGACGCCCAGCCCCTTGCCGCCGGTCTTTTTGGCCTCCGCCTGGCGCTCCTCCTCCAACGCAGCCAGACGATCATCCTCCTTGCGCTTCTTCCTGGGGAGGGGGGGACACATGAGATGAATGACACACACCGATGGATGGATGGATGGATCGAGATCGATCGCTGGCTGACCAGGCTTGGAAGGTCTCGAGCGTCACTGGTGTGAGGCCGTCGCGCTTCAGGCTAGCACGCTGCACACACACACACACACACAGAGTGTCATTCATCCACTCTGGCACTCGGCTACGCTGCAGCAGCTGTGGTTTTCTCACTGACCTCCTCTTCAATGAGTTCCTCGATGAGCGTCTCGTCCTCCTCGTCCACCTCATCAGCTGGCACGTCCTTCTTCAACACATAACCTACACACACGAAGGAACCATCATATCCACTCCACCACGTCAGCAGGCACCCGTAGATCTATCTCATCGCCAGGTAGGTACCTACCTGGTGGCAGGCAGTGTCTGTACTTGCAGCTCTGGCCATTCGGACACTGCCAAAACCAGCCGTATACCTGCAAAGCAACACACACAATGAACCGTGCCATACGTCTGTGTGGCCTAGGTGGGTGTGTGTGTTGGGGGTGGTGCGCGTGCAGTGCACGAGATACCCACCCTCTTCTCGACGGCGTCGAGGAAGTATTTGCAAATGATCTCGGTGGGTCGGTTGGCGTTCTCGGCCGTGTGCTTGGTCTTGATCACCTGGGTGCACACCACACCACGCCATCAGACAGACAGACAGACAGACAGTAAGAGACAGGGATGGGATGGGTGGGTGTCATGTCAGGAGTGCCTCGGCATCCATCTGTTTGTCTGGCTTGCGTGTGCTGTGCTGTCTGTGCTGACCTCTTCGAGTTTGCTCTGGTCCCAATTCTCCATCGTCTCTGAAACCATCGCATACAGATACACATACCCATACACACGTGTGTATCAGCATCTGTTGGCTTTTGTCTGTGGTTGTGTCGTCACTACCTTTGCCCGTCTGTTGCTGGTCCCTTTGGTCAACATACAAGTTGATCTGCTGCTCCTGCACACACACACACACGCATCCGTCCACACCGAGCTCGTCGCTAAGGCCCCTCCTTCCCTGTCTGGCCCGGTGTGTGTGTCCCCACATCATCAACTCAACCAACATACCTCCTTGATGCTCCTGGGGTCCTTCTTGGCAGCAGCGCCCGGCCCGGTGGCCTCGATCTTCTTGATGTTCTCGGTGCCGCGGAAGAGGGCGTTGAGGAGAGCCGCCTGCTGGGCCGACTTTTTCTTTTCCTCCTTCTGGGCCAGCTCCTTGGCCTTGACGGCGGACTCACTCACATTCCCACCCTTGACCTGAGATGCGATCCCCTTGATGTACCTGATGGCCATCCACACAATACACACAAAGCTTTGGATGCATGTGTCTGTCGTGTCAGTGTGTGTGCCGTGTGCGTTGTGCTGGTGTGCTCACTTCTGTACGGTCTTGGATTTGTTCTTGTTCTTGAGGCCGAAGGTCTTGTCCTCGATGATTTTCTGCTTCTGCTTCTCCAGCGCCTTCTGCTGGCCCTTGTCGGCCTTGGTCGTCTTCTTGGGCGCCATACCCGCTGCCTACTCTCGGCCAATGATGCGATCAAGCGACAAGCGACACCCCCAGAGGTCCGGGGCGAGAGGAAAAAGAAGCAACTGCCTAGACTCAATCACTGTCTACGACTGCGCCCCGTGGCACTGGTGCAGGCGGGAAAACCGGCACAGGAGATCACAAGGTTGAGCTCGCAAATGAGCGGCGATCGAACCCTTCTGCGGAGGGCTGTCCACATCAGCCACGGATCCTTGTTTGTGCTGAGCATGGCGAGTACGGCTACGTGGGACAAGAAAGCTCTATTTGCGAGCTGAAAAGGCAACGGATCTCGGCCGTTAAGCTTGCAGGAGGCGGCGAGGCGCGGCGAGAGATCTGACGAGGGCTGAGTGCGGAGACAGCTTGACAGCTTCCTATCGACAGCACTCAGCAGGGCTCGAGGACAACAGCGCTGTCCGTGTCCTTGTCCTCTCTCTACCTGCCCCTTTCTGCCGAATGGCGGCCTCTGTCTTTCCTTGACCCCTGCCTGCCTGCACCCTCGCCAGCCCAGCCCAGCCCAGCTAGCAGAGCGTCGGTCGTGTGTGACGGTACGGTCATCATGGCGGCCCACCACCGGCACGCGTCGCCCTCGGCCTCCTCGGCCTCTCCCCGTCAGTCGCCAGCGTGGCTGTCCTGGTCTGAGAGCGAGAGCAGCAAGAGGAACCTCATCGATGTCACCGAGGGCCATATCATCAGCGACGGCCTCGCCGACCCGCCGACCCGCGACGGCACACCCGATGACGCGTCGGTGGACGAGGCGCCCGACCCCCTCGCAGAGGCACTGGCGGCCAAGGGTGGGCTGCTGGCCAGCAGGAGCAAGGAGGAGCTCCGCGGTGGGGTCCAGGAGTACGAGACCATCATCCGCAACATACTGCGGCTGTTCCGCACGCAGAATCCCCCCTCTCAGCCGTCGCCCGTTGCGGGCCACGGCAGGGGCAGTGGGAGGGGCGGCACTGGTGGTGGCGGTGTTGCTGGCGGCACGAGCGGGCGTGTGGGTGGCGGTACGGTGTTTGACGAGGTGGTGTTGAAGTTTCGGTTCCAGGAGGACAACTATTTCAACCAGTACGAGGACATCGTCTTCTCCCTCCTCTCCATCGCACTCAGGGACTACCCACTCACCAACGACGTAAGCTAAGCAGAGCAGAGCAGGTGGCACACAAACCACACCATACAGACCAGCCAACCATCCCAGCATACCGATCGCTCTCTTTCAATCTATGTATGTCAGACGACCCGTGCGATGCGGGAGCGAGGGTTCAGTCGTCTGGAGGAGTTCGCTTTGTATCGGTTCCACTGGAAGCTCTTCAAGAACTACCGCAGATGGTGTCAGTACGTCAACGTCAAGCCCTTCCCATGGGGCGAGAGCAAGGGCCCCAAGGCCGCCGCCAACGCCGACAAGGCCAGGAAAAACCCAAAGTCACTCCTCGGTACGTTCCTGTGCCTGTGTGTTTTCTCTGTCCATGCGTGTGTGTTGTGTGTCGCATGTGTCAGCGATGATGGCTCGCGAGATAGCGCTGTGGAAGCTGATGTGGGGCGAGTCTGCCAACCTGCGCCACTGCCCCGAGCTGCTGCTCTTTGTGTTCCACTGGATGGTCAAGAGCTGGGACGACGTCGACCCCACTGCCATGCCCTCCTACATCGAAACCATCACACCCATCATCAACGAGTTCTGGGAGGAAATGCGGTATTCCAACACCCACACACAACAAACCCCCCCACACACAGCCCAATACGTCTGTGTGTGTCCATGGATCGATCCATCCATCAGGCGTCCGCAGGGTGACCATCCCGTCAAGATGAACTACGAGGACTTCAACGAAATATTTCACAAGGCGCCCGTGGTGCACTCATGGCTGGGCTCTGCCAGCAGGAGGGGCCGCGGCGGCACCTGGAAGGGCAACCTGATCAAGGTCATCAAAGTCGAGACGGCTTCACGGCAGCTGGTCAGCATTCACCCGCCCAAGGGACGCAAGAAGACCTTCATCGAGCACAGGAGCTACCTACACGTGAGTGCAGTGCGTGAGCCAACCAGCCGATGTGATGACGCTCATGGTCCCTCCCTCTGATCTGTTGTGTGTGTTGTTTGTGTTTTGTTGTCACAGTTCTTGCGCATCTGGTGGCGTGTGTACCACTTCCATCTGATCAGCCTGCTCGTGCTCCTGGCACTCGGTGCCAAGGCTAGAGGTGCGCAAGAGAAGAGCCACTGGACCGACAAGAGAACGAAGAACATCCCACTCCACTCCTCTGTGTGTGTGTGTGTGTGTCCATCAATCAGATTGGGATGCGTCAGGCTGGTGGGGCCTGGTAGCTGTCGGATCGTCAGCAGGCAGTGCCGTTCGGGAGCTGTTGGATCTCTTCTTCTACTGGCTGGCGCCCATACCACTGTTCCAACGCCTCCTCGACGCACTCCAGGGCATGAAACGACTCAACTGGTCCGTCCGTCGCGCGCCACAAAACACCAGAATAACGCTCTGGTATCCACCCATGTCTGTGTGTGTGCAGGTGGGCTCGACAGTGTCTGGCCGGTGTGCGTTGGGGTTTCTTCCTGTGCGCCATGTACGTCAGCCAGACCAGTCCTTTGGGGTTCAGCGACCCCATGCTGCAGCCGTCGGGTCCGATAGGTGGCGGGTACATGGCCTTCTACACCCTGCACGGCCTGTCCTACCTGCTGGTGCGGGCGAGGAAGGCCTTCCCCTGCTGCAGAAGGGCACCCACCTGGAGCACTCACGCCACCTACCAGGGCAACGCCACTATGCTCAGCGACGAATGCAGACACATGGTGAGTGAGGTGACCCCTCACACACAGAGAGATATGGTGTTTCCCTCATATGTCTGGTGGTGGTGGTGGTGTGGTGGTGTGCTGTTGTGTTTGTTGTGTGGTGTGGTGTATAGTTGGGTTACACGTTCTTCTGGGTGCCGATCATCGCCATCAAGCTGGCCATCGGGTACTTTGTGTTCGTTGACGGATTCTTGGGCTTCCAGCAGGCCATACAAGCCGCCATACCACAGGCAGAACTCACGTGAGAAACGGCCGGCCGGCCATGGGTGCGGTGCATGCATCTGTGTCCCTCTCCCTCCCTCCCTCCCTCCCTTGCTGTGTATGGTGCAGGTATGACTTTCTGTGGTTTCGGTTTGAGGATGCGTTGAAGGCGTCGCTATATTTCTTCTGGGTCGTGCCCTCGCTCGTACTCTACTTCTACGACATTATGGTACGCTCAGCTCATGCACACACAGACACACACACGCACACAGACTGCCCCGCCCTCAGCTCAGCTCAGCTACGTGTCGTGTGTCTTTCTGTGGTCACTGCTGCGCTGCGTGACGTGTTGGTTTGTTTATGTCAGTTTTACTTTTCGGTGTTCCAATCGTTCATCAGCTGGCTCGTGGGATGGTTCAGAGGGGTGAGTGAGGAGGGGAAGTAGGGAGGGAGACCAGACCCTCCACACACAGGAGCAAAATGATATGATGTGTGTCTTGTCTGTCCGCTCCGCAGATTGGCTTCATCACGGATCTGTCTGTCGTCCAGAAGGTCTTCCCCCTGCTGCCCGTCCAGGTTAGGCCAACTCCCAACACACACACGTGTCGTATGTGCATTTCTGTCTGTCTGCCTGCGTGGCGTCGCGTCACTTGCAGTATGACCGTGTGTTGTCTGAGGACGCTGGGAGCTCCATCCGTCGTCTGCGGCTCGCCACGTCGTCGTCGCCCAACACGGCCCACAGCGGCGCCCAGTGGCTGCTCAACCTCCTCAGCTGCTGCCTCTGCTGCGGCCTCTGGAAGAGACGACAAAGGATGAAAGTCAAGCCAAAGTCATACTTCAGGTCAGACCAAAGAGACACAGAATGAGAATGGCCCCCTGCAGGTGTGTCTGTCGAGTCGAGTGGGTGTGTCGGTGCGGTGGGTGGTGTGCAGGAGTCACTCTCGGCCTCACTACGCACAGCCGATGCGGGCCACTTCCCGGCAGAGCAGCCGCCGGAGCACGTCAGAGCAGTCCACCACCTACCGGCCCTCTCTCTCGTCAACAAAGGGGTCCTCAGCAGCCACCCACCCCGACGCACCCGACAGCCTCGCACACATCCTCATCCGATACATCCCCGCCACACCACGTCACGCAGCCACCACCCCGGGCAGCTCCAGCGCACCCCGGCGGAACCTATCCCTCCTCCACACGCAGACCACCCCCAACACCTCCTCGCCCTCAACAGCACCCGGCTCGCCCACCAATGGCAGCGGCGACCCCCAGGCTGTCAGTGGGATGCGGCAGACGCTCACACCGGGGGCAGTCGACACTGAGCAGGGGAGGGGCGGGTCTGGGGTGTTCCCCCCTGTGGATGTGGGCATTGGCCGGCACAAGAGCAGCAGTGTGTCTGTGGGGCGCAACGACTCGCGCGGCAGCAGTGGCAAGGTGGACGAGGGTGGGGGCGGCAGCGGGTGGGTGTCCTGGTGGATCCGTGAGATCGCCGCCGTGTACGACCACACCATTCCGTCACACGTCGTCGAGCACCAAATACGCAGGTGGGCGCGGTGCGCTGTGCAAGCAATGTGAGCAGTGTGGGTGTGGTCCTTGTCTGTCTGCTCTGGGTGTGTGTAGGTTTGGGTTCATGTGGAACGAGGTGGTTGAGTCGTGGCGCGAGGAGGACATCATCGACAACGCCGAGCGGTGCAAACTGCAGTTCAACGAACTCCCAGCACTGCACTTCAAAGAACTCAGAGTCAGCCACCCTCCCTCCCTCCCTCCCTCCATACCACAGCCCATCAACACACACCCCCTCTCTCCCTCTCCCTCTGTGTGTGTGTGTGATCTTACCTTGTAGGAGTTGAATATGGCGTATGACAGTGAGGACGGCAGCTCTGCTGTGCAGGTGTCGTGGGACGGCTCCGACATCCGCCACCCGGTGTGGGTCTACTGCGATGTCCTCAAGAGCTTCACGCGGGAGTGCGAGCTGCATCAAACGCACATCAACGAAATCTGGGAAGCGCTGCGGGTAACAGACAGACATCCCCCCCCCCCCCCCCCCCCCCCCCC